CAGAATAGGATTAGGGCCACAGGAAAAAACTGCAATATATTAAATTTGATTACTTGTAACAGATAATTTTTTAAAGTTTTTGTTTAGTTTTTTCAGTGAATGTATTGCAGGCTGTATTACACGGTTGCATGGCAACAGTGGCCAGGTGTAGGTTTACCTGCAAGCTGATCCGGATCATTTATTGTTGGTTTCAGAGAAACAACCAGAGAACAACAGAAGAAGAGACGCTGAGCTGAGACCTGCAGTCCTGCACACCTCAGCAGGTGAGTTTCATCCTGATTATGGTTTTATGAATCAAACTTTTCTCTGTCTCCAAAACCTGCGTCATGATGGGAAGTTATTTAGCAGCTTTTAGTGCCTTCTAGCGGACAAAAGGCGTCATTACATCGCGATTTACCATTTTGCAACAGATGCAAACAGAAGGAATATGAAAGAAAAAATAAAGTATCTGTGATATAACTGTGTGACAGGAAGCGGAGCAGAAGTGAAATCAGAGGTGAAGATGGCTTTAGCCAGCGGCCACTGGCTGGAGAAAGAAATCAGAGGAGAACCTCCGAGTCCCAGGTCAGTGTGACGCAGAGCCGGCCCAAGACAACGCAAGTTCAGGGACTGCTCAGGGCACCAAGAGCAACAAATTAGCATGAATAAAAATATATATTTAAAATGACATTGAATAATTCAAATTAAATGCTGTTAAACATGTAAAAAAAAACTTTCCATATTGTTTTTATAGTTGTGACACAATAATAGTTAATCTCTCTGTTGATGGTTCCTGCCTCTGTTGGGAAAAAATAAAACATCTACTTGTTTAATGCAAATTTTGTGTTTATCACCTGATGTTACTTTCAAACAGTTAAACAATATGGCACCTAAAATACTACTCTGCATTTCAAAATTCAAATAATTATTTGTAGTTTATTGATCCTGCAAGTCTAAAATCAAGAGCCATAATAACACTGATGTAAGCTAATTACAAATAAAGCTAATGCTATCAAGTACGCTACACAGAGTAGTTTAGGAATGAAAAGGCATCTGATGTTGAGATGTTGGTATGGGGCCCCCAATAATCTGCAGGGGCCCCAAAGGGTTGATCCGGCCCTGGAGTGACGCCAGCAGCAGCTAATTAAACTGAATAACTCTGTGTTACGCCGGCGCGTTTTAAACTGAGCATGTTTCTGCAGACATGGCCACGCTGTAGCTGTGGCTGGAAGCGTGGCCTTCCTGTTCGGAGGAGCGAGTAGCATCAGCCCAGAGGTGACCAAAACACAGAAACTAAAACAAGAAACACATCCATCATCATTTACTCTCTGTTGTTGCATTTAAAGGAGATTCAATTTTAATTTATTCATTTGTTTTCACTCTTTAGGTCAGTCCTGTTTACTTCTCTGACTTCTACATGCTAACAGGTAACAGACCAATAGCATGTAGCCTACATTGTTTCATTTTACGCTTTAATGTTGACAAAAAACACAACAGACTGTCCAGTAAGTCTGTTGTCCATTAAAAATGGTATTTATAAAATCCAATCTTAACTTATTGTCTGTTTCTTGCTAAACGTTGCGGTTTGGCTGTGAACTCATGACGTCGCTGTGTGTGTGACGTCGCTGTGTGTGTGACGTCGCTGCGATCTGGAAATGATTCCCAGGTTTGATGATTGCAGTGACTCCTGATGATGTGACCTGGGAGGAGATTCCTCAGAGCGGAGAAATCCCGTCGGCCAGAGAAGGACATACACTCTGGTAAATCCCAGTCCAATATGGCCGCCAGCAGGTATCAAGGAGGTAGCAATGAATCAGAACAGGAGCCAAAACTTTCTCCAGAAACCAAACTGAAGTTATTATCTGTGAGCCTAAAGAGGAACTGAAATCACAGCTTCAGTTATTACAGATGGAAACCAGAGATCAGGCTGAAATCTGGGTTTGGGCCTCCAGAGCCACATAAAGGTGGTTACAAAGTCGGCCTTCTATCACCTGAGGAACATTTCCAGGATTAAAAGACTAATGTCCGAGCAAGATCTAGAGCAGAGGTGTCCATAATGTGGCCCTGGGGCCATTTACGGCCCTTGGAACAATGCTGAGAGGCCAGTGATCCCAGTCCAGGCAGTTGGTGGAGATTTAAAAATCATATTGACTGAATTGCAACACAAAGTATTCATCCATCACAAAAACAATTTTCTTTCCTTTTTTAAGGAAATGAAATGAAACTGCTGAGCAGACAGTCTTCAACCACTTCAAAATAAGAGCGTGAATATAAACTTCGAACTACTTCAGATGTCAAACTTTATTCAACTGAAAGTTTACAAAACTGTCCAAAAGTTCACAAAAGGAAATTAGCGCTTTGGACTTCATCCAGAAGCTAATGCTAAAGCTAAGTGTGCTAAAGGTGTTAGCAGTGCTATTAGCGCATTAGCGGAAATGAGTCCATCACTGGACTTGACTGAAGGGTTTATTGTGTTAAGATTGTTTCTTTTGGTGGCTTTTATTATTGGAATCTCCAGAATCATCGATTTCTAAATATGGACAGATTGTTGCAACAAAAAGAACACAAGATGTCGCTGCATCCCGCCTGGAGGACATAGAAGCGCTAAAGGGTTAATGACCAACTGCACAGGGACAAATATGGGACCTGAACCAGGGAAAAGCAGCTCATGTCACAGGAAGTTGACCAGCCGTTGAAAACCCGACTGCAGTGTTGATGTAATGGTCTGCTGCGCAGCGTCGTCAGAGGGAAGCTGTATCTGTTCGGTGGATCCTCCAGTCCTGAAGCCTCTGAAAGCCTCCCAGGCATCTACAGCTTCGACGTGGGTGAGGCGACGCCCCATCGCCTTCTTCCCTCCTGGTTTGGTCTCAGCGTTCTGATGACCTTCCACGTTCTCCGCAGTGTCTCTGGCCTGGGAACGCCTGTCAGCCGGCGGCGTGGCTCCAGGGGTCTCCGGTTCGGCTCCGCTGCCGCCGGAGACAACATCTACGTGTACGTAGGGCGGCTGGAGGGCGAGCCGACCGACGACCTCCTGGTCTTCAACACAGGTTAAAATCCTGGATCCTTTCTGTCCAGAGAAAATGAAGTGTGTTGGACTGAAGTCTGGATCCTGACTTTGTTTCAGTGTCTGTCACCTGGACTCCGGTTAAAACCAGCGGATCGCCTCCTCCTGCCCTGTGAGGCTCAATCAGATCAATCACATTGATCCACTGTAATCACGGCGTTACATCCGGATGTTCATGTCTGTTTCTGCCTCTCCAGATGGGGGCAGAGTTTCACTCAGGGGAGATCAGCTCTTCATGTTTGGAGGTTACGGAGCAGGAGAAACGTTTTGTAAGGACCTTTACGTTCTGGACACAGGTAAACTTTGGCTCAGGTTGGGATCCACTTTGAAGCAACACATCATGACATCATACATCTTTACTTTAAACGTCTTAAACTGAATAAATAAATGTGAAAATGTGACCCTGATTTCACTGCACAAATCTTAAAATCACCAGTACAACTCATGAAAATATCAAAACTTTTATTATTCAAAGAACCGCCATGTAAAACCAGTTTTTTATGGATTTCTAAACAACTTTCCCAGTTTTTTAGACTAAATTCAGAGCAAAAACCAAAAGGAAACTTTGTGCTTCAGGTTCTGGTCAGTAGGGAATATCTCTGTCTCTGTGTTTTTAGAGAAGCTGCAGTGGCAGAAACGGGAGGTGAAGGGAGATCTCCTCCATCCTGTAGCGGACAGACACTGACTGCACACCATGACAAGGTACACACACACACACACCACACACACACACACACACCACACTAACACACACATACACACACACACACAGACACCACACACGCAGACACACACACACGCACACACACACACCACACACACACACACACACACAGGCACGCACACACACACACACACACAGACAGACACACACACACACACACACACACACACACACACACACACACACAACACACACACACACACACACACACCACCCACACTAACACACACATACACACACACACACACACACACACACACACACACACTACACACACACACACGCACACACACACACACTCGCACACACACACCACATACACACACAGACACACATGCACATACATACACACACACACACACACACACACCCCACACACTCGCACACACACACACACACACACATACACACACAGACAGGCACATACATACACACACACACACACACACACGCACACACACACACTCGCACACACACACACAGACACACACCCACACACACTAACACACACATACACACACACACACCCACACACACTAACACACACATACACACACACACACCCACACACACTAACACACACATACACACACACACACCCACACACTAACACACACACACACACACACACACACACCTGGATCAGATGCAATAACTGCAGCAACAGTTTCCTTCTCTAAAATCTTATCAGTCAATCAGCTTTAATAAAGATTAATAATGTTTGTGTTGCTCTTTGCAGCATCAATGGAGGAGTTTAATCAATAGTTGGTATTTCTTCTACTGCAGTAGATTTTATTTCTATTTACTTAATTTATTGTTTTCAGATCAATTTTATTGTTTGCATTTACAGTATTTTCTGTCATATTTAAAGAATTACAATTTTAAGCCTCAGTGTGAAAAACATTTCAGATTCTGAAAATAATTTTTTTGAAAGAAGGAAAATTTTACTCAACACTAAACATGACCTTCAACCTCCAGTGCTATAGGTTTTCTGAAAATGTAGATTTACATAAAATCCTCTAGAGGGCGCCACATCTCTGCCTCCATACTAGAATTAAAACAGGAAGTCTTAGAAAAACTGAACAGGAAACAGTTGAGAGAAAAACTGATTGAATAAACACCCTGAGGATGAACTTTGACACCTGCCTTCGTCTCCGACTGAAATCAAACTGAACAAGGAGAAAAGAGAGAGAAGTGAGCAACTAGACACTGGAACACAGACTGCTGCAGGGAGGAACAACAAGCAGATCAAAGTGAAAGTAAGTTCAGAAAGTTTCTACAGGAGAGAAACTGACTTCCTGGTTTTGTCTGCTGTGGTTTCAGCTTCACTCTGAGACAAAATGGCTTCCAGATCAGACGATGATCTCTGCTGTCCGGTCTGTCTGGAGATATTTAAGGATCCGGTTCTTCTGTCATGCAGCCACAGCTTCTGTAAGGAGTGTCTGCAGAAATACTGGAGAGAGAAACCAGGAAGAGAGTGTCCAGTTTGTAAAAGGAGATCTTCTAAAGATCTTCCACCTTTTAATCTGGCTCTGAAGAATCTGATTGAATCTGTATTACAGCAGAGAGAGCAGAGAGCTTCAGAGGATCTCTGCAGTCTGCACTCTGAGAAACTCAAACTCTTCTGTCTGGACCATCAGCAGCCAGTGTGTCTCGTCTGCAGAGATTCAGAAAAACACACCAATCACAGATTCAGACCCATTGATGAAGCTGCTCAGCAACACAAGAAGAAGCTTCAGGAAACTCTGGAGCCTTTAAAGGAGAAGCTGAAGCTCAGGAAGAAAGTTCAGGAGGAGTTTGATCAGACAGCAGAACACATGAAGGTCCAGGCCCGACACACAGAGAGGCAGATTAGGGAGCAGTTTAAGCAGCTTCATCAGTTTCTAGCAGAGGAAGAGGAGGCCAGGCTGGCTGCACTGAGGGAGGAAGAGGAGCAGAAGAGAGGGATGATGAAGGAGAAGATGGAGGCTCTGAGCAGAGAGATAGCAGCTCTTTCAGACACAGTCAGAGCCACAGAGGAGGAGCTGAGAGCTGAAGACGTCTCATTCCTGCACAACTACAAGGCTGCAGTGGAAAGAGTCCAGCGCTGCCCCCTGCTGGAGGATCCACAGCTGCCCTCAGGAGCTCTGATAGACCAGGCCAAACATCTGGGCAACCTGGCCTTCAACATCTGGAGCAACATGCAGACCATGGTGACCTACACTCCTCTGGTTCTGGACCCAAACACGGCTAGGTCAGGACTCCATCTGTCTGAAGATCTGACCAGTTTGACTAGAGGAGAGAAACAGCAGCTTCCTGATAATCCAGAGAGATTTGATAAATATTACTGTTCTGTTCTGAGTTCTGATGGTTTTAACTCAGGGAACCACAGCTGGGATGTTGATGTTGGAAACAGTAAAGGCTGGATACTTGGTGTGTTAGAAGAGTCTGTTCAGAGAAAGGGAATCATAAAGTCTGGATGGTTGGTTATATATTTCTATGAAGGTAAATATTCAGCATATTCTCCACCAGCTCCTGCCACTCGTTTCTCAGTCCAGAAGAATCTCCAGAGGATCAGAGTGAATCTGGACTGGGACAGAGGAAAGCTGTCCTTCTCTGATCTGGATACTAACACACACATACACACCTTCACACACACCTTCATTCACAAGATGTTTCCATATTTCACCACTAATAAAACCTTAAAGATGGAACCGATGAAGATCTCAGTGATCAAGCAGCAGCTCTGATGATCCAAATCAAAACTTATTGATCAGATTGAAACTGTGAGTTTTAAAGAGGAAACTGGAGATGATCTGATCATCTGGAGACTCTTCATCTCTGACTTTCCAACTATTGATTCCATGACAGCAGAAATTAATGTCAACATGTTTAATTAATGCGTCTATTTTTAGCTGCTGAGTGATAAAACTGAACTACTGAATGAATCTGAAATGACCTTTTCACTTCCTGCTAAGTGTTTATTAGTGTTGCTTTGACTATTCCCTGATCAATGCTGTGTTTATACTTTCTATCATCACTTTTATGATCCAGTAAATACCAGAAAATCCTGTGATAATAATCCAAGTCCATGTTGTCCATGGTTAATCCCAGCAGATTTTAATCTGGTCTAGAGACTTTCTGTTCAGTTCAGTTCCAAACACTTTGGTTCATCAGAGCTTCATAATCCAGATTATCATCCAGTTTGTTACCATAAAGGTTTCAGAACAATGATAAACTCTGCATGATGTTTGTGAAGCAGCAGAAACTGAATCTTGTTGCAGGAGGGCAGCGTTAATCTGTCATTTCTGATTCTTTAGTCTGACTTTAGTTTTTGTTTGGAAACAAAACAATCTGTACAAACACACATTAATAATCCAGTAAAGATCGTAGTGATGAAGCTGCAGGTCAGAGAGGGAAAGAACATCAACAGTCTGATTTTAAAAATGAAGAAAAGATGTAAACATAAATAATAACAATTATAAAATGTCTGAATCGTTCATGGTACAAATTATTAGAAGGTATATTTGGTAACAGCTGAAGCCCAACATGAAGTTTATCTGAATTCAAACACGGTTTAGTTTAAATATGAATCAGAGTGAGAGGTCTTTGTTTCTGTTCTAGTCTCTGGATATTTTTTCATGTTTTCTGGGATCTGACGTGTAAAAATATATGCAGTTTAATTCAAATGTAATTAAAATGATCCCAGCAGTTTTGCTGCAAGTTTTCATTTGTTTTTGTTTTATGTTATATGCTTGGACATGATTGAAATGTAATATGTAACAATGTATTGTTTATTTCATGATGCATGACTTTGTGTTTTTGTGTTTATGATGTAAAGCACTTTGAAATGCCTTGCTGCTGAAATGTGCTATACTAATAAAATTTGATTTTGAATTGATTTGATGGTTTGAATGTTTTGGAAGCAAGATGTTTGAGACAGTTTTAAAATGTTTGTTTTGTTACAATCAATAAAATCTGTAATATAAAATCTGGTGTCATACAGCAGATATTTCTTGCAGACAGTCTCCGTTGTGTTTCCTCCCTGAAGGACGTCTATCTGTTTGGAGGACGAATCTCCAGTCAGGATTCCACTGCGACGTCGTCCAATGAGATCCATAAACTCAGTCTCGGTATGTTGGCTGTAAATGTGTCAGTCTGATGTGAATAAAAGCCGAGGAGTGAAATGTTTGTGTCTCCAGCCAAGATGAAGTGGAAGGTTCCTCTGTACGTTGGGATTCCTCCGCGCGCCGCCACGGCCACGCTGCCTTCATCCTGCACAGCCACGTCAGAAACGCCTCATGGTCAGACTTTACCAGGTGCTTCACATGTTCTCATCAGCAGTTTCTGTTCCTGGTTCACAGCTCTACGTGTTTGGAGGGAAGAACGAAGAGCAGGAATTTAATGACCTGAAGGTGATGAAGCTGATCAATCCGTCTCTGAGAGGCAACCAGGTACGTTGACCACCTGACCTTCCTGTCGGGTCAAAAAAAATGAGTTTCAGTAAAGTCAAATTATCTCACAATGTTCAAAAAGTCAAGTTCCAACCCTAAAGACAGAGCATGGGTTCATCATAAATGGTGTAAAATACGTTGTACTCTGAATATGTAATATTTATAACAATGTTAAAGTGATTTAAACATTTGGATCACACTGAAGCTGGACAATATTTTACACAATAGAAAGCATCATTTGTTTATTTCTCAGACTTTAGACTTTAGACTCCTTTATTGTCCATTAAACTTACATAAAATGGAAATTATCTTGGCAATGGCACAAAAACACACAACACAACACACATCACAGTCGCCACAAAACTGCATGCACAATGAACAAAAATGAAATCAAGTCATATGACTCTCCTCATGTCATTCAGTTAAATATTAAAAACCATTTAAAATGTACTATTCTACTGCTAAGAGAGCACACAGAGTCTACACTGAGTCACTGT